ACTGACGAGTCCTAGAAGGACGAAACAGCTGTATGATGCAGCATTACTGACCGGTCCTAGAAGGACGAAACAGCTGTAGGATGTAGTTTAATTCATTGTTTCACTCTATTCTATCTAACTATAGATTTGTATTAAAATGTAATGTTTATTTGTGCGTCTTTTGTACAATCTTTGTACGTAGACAAATACTTCACATGAAAAAATCTTGATTATAATTTTGAAATGTTCAATATTTGTAGACATACTGCATAACATCCTGTTTGATGGGTTGACATATCTGTTAAAATATTGACCAGCATTTGAAACCATATATTTTAGTATCATCCCTCTGTAATTAATACAATATTGAAACATAAGTATTTCAAACAGAAATAGGACAGCAATATCACACTGAAATGTACATTTCAATGTGAAACATGATTCCAGCATTACCGTAAGGCGACCTTGTGACGAGAACATGTCTTTGTTTTGAATAAATACATACTGATCATTTGTGGGGCTCACAAAAGAAATCCAAACTCGTTCTTCGTTTTTCTGTCAATTCTACATAAGATAGACCGAACAATTACCACGACGCGCCGCCGAACAATATGTACGGCCGTCATTATTTTCTCTATTTTGTAGCAAGACTGAATAGTTTAGTTGAACAATTATTCCTGACTGACTGATTGGATAATTGATCAAATATCGATTCATACGGTGAAATGGTTGTTTTTTGTTCGTTTTTTTACACTAAGAAACGGCGACATTAAGAGTATTTAGAGATCCAAATATAAGTTAAGCCTTACATTAGTTATAGTGTCACAATTCATTAAGCTTATTTTTATGTTTGTCTTCGGGTGAGTTAATTTATGTCTGATTTCAAATATTTAGTTTCATTTTCTTGATATTCATTTAACTATTTCTTATGTATTTCTCTTTTAACATTTTACATTTTACCACTTCAAAATAACGGTTGATCCAAAAATATTTTAAATTTTTAATTAAAAATACACCTGATAATTCATGGTGTTGGGTACAATTCCGTGGTGTGTTAAAAAAGACAAATACAAAACAAAGTGAAGACCCGAGATAAATTAAAGCATCGTCACAATATAATGTTTATACGCCCATGTCAGTTTAAGGAAAACACATGCAGAATGCTGTATCAGTCGTTTTGTAAATATTGCTGTTTTGTTTGTGCTTTCTCAACTAATGGCCAGAATCTATTTGTATAGTATACCCCGTATTGTAGTTTTGGCACTACGTTTGGTTGACCGGATGGTGTCCAGAGTCTTTGTGTACATTTTTTTATCAGTGTCCATCCTCTATGGTACCAGGAAATCACCACCAACAAACACGCCCTATGTCAAAACCTTGACCAATGTCCATCCATGACAGGTACTAAAAAAACAACAGCAACTTATTCGAGCGATAAGGAACGTTTGTGAGATAATTCCTGTAAAAACGGGTTCGATACCGACTACATAGATTAGCAATGTATACATCTATTATAGAATTGCTACAAAAACAACTTGCCAGGAGACACCCCCCCCCCAACTTTATTATCATAACTAGGTTTCTTACATGACCTTACCTGTTTGCCTAGAAACCATTTACCTGTCCGGCAGGTGAGAATAGAGGATAAGTAACTCATCATGTCGATAAGGTGATTACATACCTGTATAATTTACACCTGTTTGTTACCTGACGATCGATTAGTGAACTAGGACGCATCCACACATGTTTGATGTTGTACGTAAAAAATGAGCTCTTTTAATTTTCAAAGACATAGTAAATGAACTCAGTTTTTAGGTCTTCATCGGGAGTTGTTTTGTGGTACCCGGAGATATTGAATGCGTCCCGGCATGTCCTCGCTAATCGCTCATTAATTAGCGGCACGTCCCCTTTGTTGGCCGCGAGCAGTATGTACCGTAAGCCGTTCCTACTAAACACGCGCTCTCCGCTCCAAACCGTAAACCTCATTAACAGTGTTTACAAGTTAATTAGGGGGATTTCATCACTTTATTTTCGTGGACGCTTTCTCTAGATTTATGAAACAATCATTGTACTTCTAGCACCAAGCACTGATTTTAATCAAGTAATCTACATGTCGGCTCTCTCAGAACTCCGAAATACCCTCCAAATATCGCACATTTAAGGCTGGGATTCATATAGAGAATATATATATCACATATTAACTATTGTTCGTTATTGTATATGTTGGGAGGGATGGTGGGGTTACATACCGAAATAAAAACAATAATGTATAATATACTTTGAAATAATAAAAAAAGACTAAATTTAATTCTTATTCCTAATATATACCCAGTTGTAAAATACTGTAAGCTGATAGTATCAAATTCTATCTCATTTCTTGGTGTTTGTTTTCATGCTTACTCTATAGTTTAATGCGCTTTCAAATTACAGTGGAAGGAGATTAAGGGAATGATCGTGTAATTTACCGTCACGTTGGCTATATAGGAAGAGAAAAACTAGGGTACATTCAGTCTTAACAAGTACACGGAAGTATTGCTTACCTTTTATGGAACTATATCTCATTTGGAACATTTTTTTTTCAATTTTGTTTCAAACTGGAGTCGTTTGTGTCATTGAAATCAACAACTGGATATGTTGCTTTATATAAACATCTGCAGATTTAGAAATGAACATCAGTGCTTTGTGTAAAATTGGAGGTTTACTTATAATATACTTAAATTAAATGAATGGAAAAACAAAGACGTGAATTCATGCTTCTTTAAATATTTTTTTTAATTTTATTTGTTTTTGTATCTTTCTTTCTCTCTCTTCTTTTGTTTTGTTTGTTTTTTTTCATAATTTTTCATTCAATATAGTTGTAGTTCTAGTAACGATGTATGTATACATTGTCTCTGTGTTTTGTTTTCTATATCAGGTATAAATCTTGAACACACACGGATATGTACATCATTTACATGTTTTGAGAATAGTGTTCAGAACTAAGCGATGACATATTTTTTTCACCATCTCATTAAAAATTCATTTTCTTATATATTTACTTACAGGAAACAACATCTGGTTCCCTTCTAATATCATCACAGAATGTAACGTAATAGAAATAGCATTAGGATTTATCAGCAGCTTAGATTTATCACACCAGATTCAGTAAAAATATTCGGGAATTCTCTTAAATTCTTGGCATTATCTTAATTACGTGTACGTGTCTCGCTTTTAATAATTATGAAAAGGTAAAGGTACTAGTATATTTTGAATATTTGAGTTGACGGTGCTTCCAACTAGTGAATGTTATTGTATTGTGTTACTCAATGACAATACTTTAATTCTCTGGACACACTAAATATAGAAACCTGAGCTATAGATGACGTACAGTGGAGACATGTCTGTCCTAAATTGGTAACAGATTATTAGGCTTGAATTTCCTCAAAATTTTGATAAAATTCTAAATGTTAGTATGAGAAAGAATTACGTTTAATACTATGATAGTATTGTGTCTGTTTAAGAGATTTAGGTTTCGTTCCCCTTTTTCATCAATATCAGCAAGCATTTAGATAGTAACAAATCGTCCACTCTTTTGATGAACATCTTAATCTTCCAACTCAGGTTAATTTTTAATCTAAAAACAAACCGCTCTGAAATAGAAATCTACCACGTGGATTCGTTATTGTTTGGGTTTCTTAATAGTAAACACACTGATTACAGAATGCAGAACGAATATTTAATGTAAATTAATCTGTGACACAATGCTTGTGAAGAGTCCTCAGAGTATATGAAACTATGAAAAAATTACAACCTTTTCTTTGCCACTTAACAAAGTCCCTGTTGATTAGATTTATCTCCGAACTTGGGGAAAATGATGTCGTTATCTTAGAAAATTTGCGTATCATATTTTTCAACATTTTAATTCTAACCCTATCTTTATTCGGTGAATTAGAAATTATTGGAAATCTCAAGTATCTTTCTAAATATTAGCTTGTCTGTTTTATTTCATTTCCTACAAAAGTATCGAAACAGATCACTTCATCTGTCACAGTAACGAAATTTACATTATTCTCACGCGCTAGTGGGTTTGAGCGAAGAGTTCATGAAAGCTAATCGCTGATTGGCTACTACAGATACAAGGGGCGTGTCTACTATCTGCTGTGAGTACATGAACGAAAAGCTGGTCGACGTTGCAGATCAATCATTATTATTTATTCATGTCGTACCGTAAGCTGAATTTTACACGGTTTAGCTAGCTTCTTAGATTCCTCTCTAATCTTCATAAACTATTTTTTGGAAATTTCAACCGTACTCGTATCCAGGTATGTCCAAGACAATCATATAACCCAAGTATTTTGTCGAGGTAAAACACTCGCGTGAATTAGTCATTGAATACTGTTCACCAAACCTGGTTCGGTCGCTGTCCTAATTCGGATTATCCCTATACCCAACAGGTGAATCTGAACGGTTCTTGCCAAGAATTGGAAGTGTGATTTGACTAACCAGTACAAGGTAAGTGTTTTTCAATACCCTATTTCGGATTAAGAGATTTGATCCAGATTTTCTAAATCCTCTCAAATCTACCAAGATATTCTAACTGTATTTTAAAAAGTGCGTTCCTAACACCGTTTAATGTGTTTCCTTTAAAACTTTCCTGATTACGTATTTATTTACCGTCGCGAATCTATTTGTAATTTTCATTAAAATATTAAAACAACAATGAAATATATATTCAAGTTTATAAATTTTATTACAATAAAAAAATATATATACATATAAAAAATGACGACCGATGCCGGACACAAGACTGGACACGACGGAAAGAACAATAGGGTTTCCGCTTGACCAACCGTAAAACACCTATAGGTTATTGGGTGACCAGTGGCTACTCCACACATAGACTAGTAACAGGAGACGGACACATTCATTTCTCTCGAACACTTGGAGATTGGTTACTAGTGAAAATAACGCGAATACTTCGTGTAGATTTCAACACAGCGACGAGAAAATACATTGACTTCGTTACATTTCCGCTCTCACTCATGTCTGTTTCCGACATCCCTCGATTACTGTCCGACCAAGTGACGGCTGATGACTTGGAAGGTAAGATATTATCTGACCCGCTTGAGTTCCAGCTTTGGAGATGATTATCACTATTTGTATAAAGTGCACATAGACGGGATGTAGAGTACAGTTAAACTTAACAGTACAGAGAAAATTATCCAAATATTTATATTTTTTAATCAGTTTTGGAAAAGGAGATAACGAATTAAATGGAATCAAGTGCAAAGTGGATATGAACGGATTATCCTGATAATCTTAATTATAAATATTATACAATTTACTTAGTGTCAAACTAATGTAAAACACTAGGGTACATTTAACACTGATCATTTGAGTTAGATTACAAACAAAAACAGCTTTAATCAATTAATATCATTAATCGTGTTCTGCATATTCTTTCCCCTGACCATTTATATCCTGTATAATGTATAATGATATTTAAATCAATTTACTTTTTTTTACATTCGTTTCATAATGATTTTATTTTTTTTTTATTCTTATTTTTTATTGTAGTTATTATTCACTAGATTTTGTTTAGTTATCGGGACTTTCATATTTTATTTATTATCTGTGTGAAGTGACCAACATGACGTGTGATTCACGCGGTTATTTGGAGGACGATTTCCTGCGGACGCTACTCCTGTGTTTGTGTCACACATAGCATACGATATCGTGTTTGAAACTTGACCATCGGACACTTATAGAACGAAAACACAGGAAACAGGCCTTGTGTAAATGTTGGCCTTAGCTAGGTCCACTTCAAAATCTTTGACCACACTGTCTCAAATTACATAATCGGACAACATTTCAGTATCCCTTTCATTACAGAAGATTCATTCAACCGTTCTCTACAACGGGTACCTGATATACTTGTCAACATTTTCATATTTAAATAAGGTTAATTTATTTTTAAAATGTACACACCTAAATTTAGCGGAGAAATTGTTCTACCCTCTTTTGGTCTCCCAGGAAACGGTACTTGAATACCAGTGTTTGTCCTGACGTCCATTGTCCACTTACACTGACCGTAACGGTCCCGATTCTCCACAATTTTATTTACTTAGCGAAACTGGGAAAGCGCCACGCATTATTTCACCACGTTCAATATTTAAGGGTATATTACGGTTTGTCAGAAAGTCCACAATAATAATTATTTTATATCTGGTTCTAATTTTTCTCTCTCGTCACGACTCTATTAAATGGACTAGATTTCTTCACGGGTAGTTTGGATTTGTTTATCTGATACTTTTCACGAGTTAGCATCAATTGATTTTCAGGCAATACCGTCCGTTTACCTAGTCAATCTTGTTCCGTGAAAGCAAACACGAATAGTGATATATTCCCTTTCCTTTTAAAAAACGGACAATTCGTGTAAATTTGTACGTGACAAATATTTCCTGTGCTCTGTCAACGACTCCCAACATTACCCCACTACTTTGGAAATGGTTAAATTCAAAGGATGTTTGCGCTTTTAATTTGTAAGAAAATTGTTTATTAACACATCTGAGTATCCGTTTGTGTACCTGGCGTTTCCTTACTGAGAGTGTGGCAAAAATCGTTAAAGCTAACTGGCTAATATTGACATGCCGGTCTCAAGTAAATATAAACCGTCTGTCAAAAGGCACTGTTTAAAACTGTACGGTATCACTCGTACTTACTAGCACATAAATACACAGCCACCTCATGTTACTGTTATCATTTAAATTATACAAATATAATTTCCGACAAAGAATTTCATTTTGATAAAATGACAATAAAATTAGTATATTTTGGTGAGATATGAATGGTGTTTTAATTTAGAAAATCTGGATTGAATAAAGAATTTGTATGCATATGTTTTTACATTAATTTATTTTACTGTTAAAAGTTTAAACATGTATATTTGAGCTGAAAGATTGTTAGATCTATTAATTTATTTTATTTCGAGAAAAATTCACTAAATGGATAACAAGATGATCAACAATCGAGGAAAAAAAAGAAGAAAAATTTGCTTTGATGATATAATTGTACAAAAGATATTTTCATTTGGACTGAGCGAAATTTATGAAATTGTCAAGAAATGAAAAAATATCGGCAATTGGAAATAGTTAACAATATGCCATTAATTGAAAAAAAATTCTGAATCATCACTTGTTGTTGTTTGGTTGTTGTGTTGTGTGTATTTGTGTGGACCTTACATGCTCTCTTGTCACTTATAGGTCCATCCTTTGACCACACCTTGACCACACCTTGACCGCTCCCGCCAGCTGTTAACATGCACCTCCTAGCCTACCCCAATAACACTTCGCCAGGTATAATATGTCGCCATTTTTACCCTTTGTTTCAATATTAGCGTTTTTACCCTAGAGTCTCTTTTTCTGCTTTGCTTCTATCAATTCAATATTTTGTTTTGTTTTACAAGATATACGTTTATTTCTAAAATTTCAATTTACATCTTATACATGAAGTTATCTACGATAACGTTTCCTTGATATATTCAAACTTTCCAAATCAGCAACCCTTGAACTAGATTTTGAGAGCCATCGAAAAAACATCATTGAGTGGATCATCAAAAATATTCACTTATTTTATTTTATCATTTTAGTTTCATTTTGAAATAATAAACGACTCAGTTTCTGTTTTGCATGAAATATAAATTGTAATAGCAGTTATTGAAAAGTAACATTCCAATGTGTGTTAAATATTTGTCAAACACTTAAGAAGGAATTAAATCTAACAAAATATAATCGTATTTGAAAAAATATATATCATCATCTCGGCATTCTGATACTGGGGTCTACCAAAAAACTTGATTATTTTATATATAAAACGATTGTTATAACTGTTTTATGTAAAATGTATAAAACCTAGTTGTTCATCATTTCTCCATTTCTTAAAAATTTTAAAAACAAGTAATGGTAGACTAATGATATTTGAGTTTAAATACAAAATATCAGCGTTTCTGTTGAAACTGATAATTAAGATATTCTGAATTTCAATTTTACATTAATTTGTCAAATAATTCAATGCCTGTTATTTAATTTATAAAAAAAAAATCCGTGAAGCTGATTCCAAAGAGAGAACGATCAGTGAAATCAGATATACATATTCTTGTAATTAGATTTCGCAATGCTATGATATATTTTTATTAAAAATTCATAGTCTTTGTTCCGTAAGAATTTTCTCTCTAAATATGAGAATTCACATCACGAAGTTCACTGCCTTGTTAATCAATATAATACGGAATTCAAATTAATATCTTCTAACCAATATACAATGTAACATATGTTCGGATTTGTTTCCGATAGGAAATAATTTCGCCAATTGTTTCCATTTTCTTAACATTAAACATAGAATAGACGAGAAATCGACACACAACAATCCATATGCTTATTGCAAAACCATAACAACGATTGTAGTTAGATTTCAATTAGTGAATTATTTGCGCGGTCGATAGCGCAAGATTCTCCGGTGATTCACGCGCGGAGACTACGAATGCACGTGTTAGAGTGACATGCATTCATTGCGAGCTTTTATTTGCCAACCATCATTATCAAATGAAATTTTAAAAAATCCACGTTCACAATACCGCTATTTCTGTGTTCTTTTCTTATGTATACCGAGAGGTACAGAAAAATTACCAATTCAGAAAATTAACGTTAGTCCCTGAAGAATATTAGATGGTTCGATGCACTACACACACATAATATATCATAATACATTCGCTACAAATCCTGAAATACGCTTTGTTCTCAAACATTTAATGTATCATGGTAAAAACCTACGGTAGACACTATAGTATTTTCCTGTTTTCTTTCTCTCTACTGTAAGCCGCTGAAACGTAAAACTTAAACGGAGCTTGTAACGACCTGTTAAGTATATCTGTTTTTTTTTTTTAAAATTTATTTGTTTGGGCTAAAATTGACTTAACAAGTGAAATTTGAGGAAATATACCACAAATTTACAAAAATCACAAAATCAAAATAATAGTAATAAAAACGGTTTATCATGGGTTAGATAAAACAGCTAATTATCCTCTGTTTCGTTCCTTCGTTTCAAATTATTACGGGGACAAATAAATGCTTTTTAACATTCTTATAATCACACCCCTAATTATTGGAATTTCGATCATATTTAAGTTGTTTTTTCCAGATAATTCCTGTAATTCTGCGCTCTAATTTATTTGCTTTTTCATTTCATTTTATCTTTTTTTTCTCAAAATTAGTATTTATCACATTGACATGTTAATTTATCATCATTACTGGTGTGTCTTTAATCCTTTAAAATGATAACTGTTTGATAAATATTGATAAAATCAAACTAAAATCAGTGAATCCTTTATTCCGCTCCGTTTTTAGTATGTTGGGGGTCGATGAGTATCGCCAGTATAATGTCTACTTGATCCAGTGTTAATTAAATATGAATGAGAGACGAGCTATCGGTACCCATTAGGGATGATAACAATAGTGTCAACATATGTTGTCTCTGATTGGTCGGCTTGACAACCCTTGACCAATAACAAATCGTCTTTTATAACCTCATGTCCCCCCGAGGGGTGGTTCAAAAAAGGAAAACAGAAATAAAAATAAAACAAAGATGGACGCTTGTATGTCACAGATGAAGTGTTGATTGGTCAGGTATCAACATCTTACCGGGTTTGTGACCACAACTCTAGGCCAGTAAACTGGTTTAAACTATTCTAGTAGATTTATATCTGTGTCATGAGATATATTTTCTAGGTTTTTATCAGGTAATTGTACTTTTTTAACTTAACTTTTTAAATTCAATATATATAGCGATAATATATGGTGATAATTACAGGTGATATTTTTTTATTGTTTTACACGAGTTATCTACTCCTGTTCTCTTGGAATTGTTTATCTATTATTATTTATTTATCCTTTTGTTTATTTATTTACTTATTTATTTATATGTCGAAAGCATTATTAATTTTTTCTTTTTTTTTATAAAATATTTTCCTGTTGATGTGTTTCTAAAATTTTTTCTAAACATTACATTTATTTAATATCAATTTTTTAATATTTCAGCTAAAAAATGATATTTAGATTTGACATTTTTGTTTTTTTTCCTCTTATTTTAGCTCCAAACAACGGAATTTCGGAATCTGAACACAGCCAGACAAGTGACGGATACAACGACTCTTACAGAGTTTCTTCACAGGTGAAAATTGAATCACCTATTTTGGACAGTTCATCTCCCGACTCAGTGCATCAACATCATCAACATAACCTGCACGTGCAACAATCACACATGCATCAGACAAGTATGGCTAGTATGGCCAGTATGCCTTATAGCCAGCCCTCTATGGCCAACAAGGCGCCCCCATACACGGTCAACGGCATAAGTCTGACCGCACCAAACATGGACCTTGTCCATCCCGCCATGGGATATCCAAGTAAGTTACATTTATTTTTGTTTGATCTCTCTTAATGATTGTTTGTTTACTTTCCTCAAGAAATCGTGTATGAAGCAGCTCAAAACAACAAAATGATAATGCATGTTGCTTACGTTTCAACCTTATGCATATTTCATATAGATTTTATCCATACGTGGGCTTAGATCTCCCACTAGTTTCTCCTATGTACAACACCAGGGGATAAATGTGTTATGTAAGGGTATTAGTATACAGGGCTATTTATATTGTTACACGATAAATATTACACAAATGTATTCGACATTACAATCTTTCAAGTTCAAGAGTACAGCAGTATTTTACTGGGTTCGGCCTTTGAACTCGTCGGTCATAACTGGTTACTGCTCATTCTAATTGTTCCCACTAGTCACTATTGCATTTACAGCCACATGTTTGGAAATAACTAAATGCATCGCTCTTAACGAAATATGGCACATTTCACAAAAAAATGTGCCGAAATTTTACTTAAGAATATTCAATAGTATATTGCATGAGATGTTTACAAGAAACACAATTCAACATATCAAGATTTAAGTACTCTTAAAATTGGCAGGGTATCCATCATGATTTAAATGTAGGTGATCTTATTTGAGTAACGTAGCTGTGCAATGTATGTTAACAAATTTGGTTGTAACGGTTTTTGTGTTTAAGAAACGTGGACATTTTAGATAAATAAGACTATAAAACAGATTTTGTCGGTATTAATTATAACTTACATTTAATCTGTTTACTACTTCTAACTTGTGTTCTATCAACAACATACGGTATAAATAAGATATCGTCTGTGTGTGTTCCGATTCCTCGTGGCTCAAAATTTAAATTATACAGAAATACAACTCTCACATCAATAAGTTATTTTAAGTGAATTTGAAAAGCTGTACAAGCCAGGTGACCATTTTAATGTAAACGTGTGACCCAGCGTCTGAAAAGGTATGCACGTGTGAATACTGGGAGGTCGAGAAGGTATGCACGTGTAAGATATGAAGACTTTAGTAGAGATAGAATTGATACATGTGGGACGCTCTACTGTAACCCGTATTCAGACATCAGGGTGATTTTGCCACCCCGGCAGATTCGCTATTGCCCGTATCCATTATAGCTCCCCATTCACAAACCTACATTTTCTCGTCGATAATAGAGGAACACAGCGGGGGCAAACTTGGAGGTTTCCTTGATAGCTGTGACCATCTTTCCAGCTATTGTTAAACGGTTTTTGGTCCTATTGCGAAGCGCATTGTCCATTCTTTGCCCAAACTTGAGGTACAAGCGATACATAGAGAGTAACGTAACGTGAAATTTGAACTGGCCCTTTAATCACCACGGCGATCATTAGATCGGAACCCGGCAGTAGGGCACTCATAGTGATTACATGTCATACCAACACAACACATCCCATCCCATCTTGTTCAAAATAAAAAATAGTATCGTGTGTTTCAATTAAGGAAAGTTTCATCCCATTAAGAATTGTAATGGAGTACATCCATTCTACTTGAACAATTCTCTGCGGTTTTTGTGTAGAGGTCTTTAAAACACGGTTAAAACGAGCTTCCTGAATTCCAGTGGTATCCTTAATTCTCAATTTGAGTCATTTTCTTATAACTTTTTTGAAACAAATATTCCTGATTCTGTACTAGGAACTATAAACTAGACACAGCTAATTTGCATAATATATAACCTGCCTGAGTGTTACAATGATATGTGGGTTCAGAACGTGCGAGGAAATCTTTGTCAATAATAAATACAACGGTCAGATATCTGTGGAAGATACCCCGCTGTAGATATTAAACGCTATTGTCACTGATACCGGACATTGCTACCAGCTTGGTTAGTTTGAAGAAAAACCTTTGATTACCATTCAATCATCACAAGTTTGATTGCCAGTAAAAATTGTGTTAAATATATACTTGTGGGGATTCAAAATATTCAGAACGACGCAAACGATTAAAATATCTCATTATTTTGTAATTAATTAAGATAGATATAAAATGAAAAAATATTTGAGAATTGTGAAGCTGACGTTTAGCCTGTTTGTGTACGTGTGGTATGACTGGCTGATTGATTTGTACTGATAGACTCCCTATTCTAGGCATGCTGCATTTGGCCAGATATCGATCTCACCACCAGGTAAAAACATCGGAAAGGGGAAAATGGAAATATCAATGATAATCTACTGGTTCACATACGGAAATGATTTGATACACAATTTTAATCCAATAGAGCACTCGGATAAAACCATGTTACAATTTTCTGGCCTATAGTTGGAAGACCACGCGACTTTGTAGGATGGACAATCCTATAGAATCTGTGGTATTATCGTCTCTTCCTATCAACTATACTCACCTTTTTAGAACATTTCTGATAGAAAAGTCTTTAATGAAAGTTCATTCATATAGTTTTTATTAATAAAAGTTATAAATTAATAATAACTTTATTATTTGTGGTCAAATGTGTTAGAGAAAAATCGATTCCCATTGCAGGATGTTGACAAATTGCCTACAACTTTACCCAGTCACACGTTATTCTTGTTTCTTGTTAAGCTTACTTATAATTAACTGGTTCTTATAAAATCTATTTTAAAAATGTATATATATGTATACTTGACTTGTCTATTGAAATTCATGTACAGGAAAAGGGCGTTTATCAATATAAAAAATTAAAATTCATTTAAATATTTGAATTTTACAATAAATCTTCATGTTTCGATTAAATAAACAGAACAAAAGTTTAGGTGTTATGTATGTGAAACACGAACACTGTCAAGATGGTCCCTACCCTCGTCACTGTACGTATAAACATTATTGATAGCAAACACAAGTCAGTTCTACCTTCCGTGCGTGATAACTTGAAATGAAACAATGATGTACCAGCTGCCGTCCACAGTTATTTCTACCTAGCCTCCCAACCGCCATCACTTTCGATTGAAGAAATATGCGAGCGAGCACAAGGTTTTTCACATGAATGCAGACTTCACCACTTTTGTATTCTTCGTGTCACGTCTGAGTATTCACCAGGCTGCGACGCTGTGAATAGGGGCTGCATTTCTATCTTGGTGTCGCCCGGTCTTTATTGAAAAACCAGAGAAAGCAATTTTGAGTTTGTAAACTTTAACATCGGTGTGTGTTGTTGGTGATGGTGTAGTGTTATGTCTGAAGAGAAGTCAAGATGAGCCGAAAAGAATTTTGTGAGTGATTCCTAATATAGTTGACGTGTACAAAATTAAGGGGCCATGACACTAGAACCACTGGTAATGAGTGTCGTGTCTGTTTGGGAACCTTAGTGGGCAAAGGTTTTTTTATGCAAATGTGACGCAGTAAAGACGCGCCGTAAATTTGGCATCGCGAGACTTGTTGGAAGTTGAATGTCACTTTGACAAATGGCTTGTGTCTTCTCCCACAATTTTACTGCTTGGCAAGAATGGATATGAAACCCCCGAGAGCTAGCAACAGGCTGGCTATTAAAGTCTGACCGTGCATATAGAGAGGAATGGTAACTGTTGATAGATTTTGTATTAATGGTTTTTTATTTTGTATCATTACAGCAGCCAACAACAGAAAACAGCGCAGAGAAAGGACAACATTTACGCGTGCACAGCTGGACATTCTAGAAGCTCTGTTCCAGAAAACCCGCTATCCAGATATCTTCATGAGAGAAGAGGTAGCCCTGAAAATCAACCTCCCAGAGTCTCGTGTACAGGTAAGCAGACAATATCGTTACTTAAATTCTTATTGTGTTTCATCGAGAAATGATGCATTGATCAAGCAACTACAATATCAACATCCCTATATCTGTGTTATCAATATCTAAATGTCATTATTATGTTATAGAATTGAAGCTGTAGTAAAACATAATGAGAAAAACCACATGTTGGTTGACTTGAAAATTATTCAGCTCTTTTTAATAAATATCAACAAACCAGGTGTTTCGACTTGAAATTACTCTGTTTTGTTCGCGCTTGGGCCAGGAAATGAGATTTTCAATATTTCTATATTCATTTGAAATTGTCTTGGTATCCGCAATATGTAACGGGCCCTACTGTATACAAATGTATGCCACACACACACGGGCTTCAGTGTTAACGAAACACTTTAAGAATCTAATACTTTTGAATTCAAAGAGAATCCATCAAGAGATGAAAGAAAAATAAACCAAAATATTTAGAAAGTGTACCAATTTGTGTTAAATGAAGCGTGTTGCCATGACGAGCCAGATGTAGATGTGTGTATACATTGACACGATGGGAAGGTCCTCGTTTCCGTTGCTTTATCACACCTGTGAACTTTCAATATTTTACCTGTGTCGTGGACACCGGGAGAGGTGTTTGTTCTGGTAATGACGGTACACAAGCCTATCACCACCAGAGGGATATCTTCCTTCGGGCTATTTTCTAACCTAGAAATCCCTCCCCAAATACCGTCTAGATCAACACGTCCTGGATGAATATCTGCAATGGTCAGTTTACTCTCTAACAAAGATTTCGTAACGCTTGACCATTGGTCAACATAAGCCGTTTTGACACTCGACACATGGGAAATAGCCGACGGACAACTTAGACGGGGTCAGTTCGCACTGACACCAAAACGTCATCAATGAAATACGATCCAGTTTCTTTTTCTTTCAGAATCGAACAGTGTTTTTGATATGACAGTACCCTAAATTTCTAACTAGCTTAGTATTCAAAGTTTGGCAATCATTTTTTTTTTCAAAATTTTTAAGTTGCTCTACGTTCGAATGGGCATGTCATTCATGTATTTCAATCCACGATGTAAAAGAAAACTTCAGACGGGTAATAATGTATTCAAAATGCTTCAATTTAAACAAACCGTAAATAATGTTTTGATATTTGTCGTCAGAATTTCTTAAAGAATGCATGCTTCTAGAAAAGGTATATATATATATGTTATAACGGGTTTTCAATAAAATTGAAATAATTCGTGATATATTGGAAACGTATACATTGCATTTATGTATGAAGCGGAAATGTTTGTAACAAACTATTATATTACACGCATAATGTATATACTTCTATAGTCTTGTATGGGACTTTAGACCCTAAACAAACCAGCAAACATGATGTTCTACAGAATTTCCAAATAAATTCCAAACGACAGTCACTATACTTCCGCTTTTTTTACACTCGGTAAAGCAATGGGAATATTTTAATGTATACTTTAGACAAACTATCCTGAGCTACTGTGTATTTGATATAAAATTTTCGTTGAAGCACTGTCCTTAACGCAGCATTTATTCCTGTATTGCAGGTTTGGTTCAAGAACAGAAGAGCAAAATGTCGTCAGCAACAGAAGGCGCAAGAGGGCAAACCAAAACCTTCCACACCCAAAAAGACAAAATCTCCCCCTCCCCCAGCGTCGTCCCCTGGGTACGGGAAACCTCCCGTTGTCAGTAGCCCAGTCTCAAATGGCTCCATGAACACCGGGTCTTCAATCTGGAGTCCCGCCTCCATTCCACCGGTCAATGACATCATGAACGGAAACAGTTGTATGCAAAGAGGAGGTTACCCTATGAGCAACTCCCAGACAGCTGCCTACCCTCACCAAAACTACGGGCCTTCCTCATATTATCATGGTAGCATGGATTATCTCAATCATATGCAGCTTCCAGTCATGTCCAACCAAATGAGTAACTCAATGTCCGGTATATCGAACACGCATGCACAGCAGGTATCTTCATATGGAGCACTTCCGGGTCCTCAGACCTTAGTTCGCGGTAACCATAATGATTGCCTAGAGTACAAGGACACGTCATCATGGCCAAAATTCCAAGTATTGTGAGGAGAAGAGCTATAAAAATCTATTTATTAAAGTGAACTCCAAATGTGCAGCACCCTGCCTGTAACCAGTGCCCAGGTCCTGTGCCAAGTCTCAAAGACAGCAGCTAAAGGGGTTTCCGAAGCTAGCTTGTCTTTTGAAAGAAAACGGACAAGCACCGGATGGACTTTCTGCAGTAATGAACGGACGAGTATGATTTATAGCGGGGAACTATTTGTGTGTAAGGCGCACCAAGAACATACACCCGTTGTCCTACGGTGAGTGTGTGTTAATGCGACCTCCGGACACTGTCCAGAATTTGTCTTGCCAAGTGCTTTCTGGAAACCATGACGTCAATAAAGCTGGACGTATACCTTGTGTGGTAGTGTCGTCGAAGACAATCGCATAAATAAGAAAAAATATTGTGACGAATTTGTACAGAGGTGAAATTTATTATATTGTACAGACTGTGACTGTATGGGAAATTTAAATCTGTCGTGTTGAATAATAACCTTCAATCACAGACCATTCTCGTGAGCACGTCTCACGAGAAATATACAACTTTCGCGAGATTCTCAAAATTTGAAAAATACTCATATAATACAGGCCGTTTTTTCGTATTTACAACGAACTTTGATTTCATCGTAGTTGACAATTAATTAAAACCCATTTTAAGATTCAAACACAATTCCAACCATTTTACATTCCTAACAAATCTCATAGTTTAATCTAGCATAATGAAGTGTGAGAGTTTATACCATATCACGTGATGTTATTGATGTGTTGGTGACGTATATAGAGCGCGTGCTGGTGGCTGTAAACATTTGTTTGTTTGACGAGAGAGTGTTGTTTATGCCGAGTTGGAACATGCTTTTGTGTTCTAATAAATATGTTGTTTTGTAAATCCATATATGTTGTTTAGTGTTTATTTCGGGAAGGATCAAATCAGCGATGTTCCATCTCCCACAACTTACATCTGACTATTACACTTCTGTCGCAAAACTTACAAATCTCCATTAAATTACAGCTGACATTTTTTTCCAGAAAAATGATACTGATAACGAATTTAATATAAAAGAAAGCTTTAATATGAAATAAAGCAAACATAGTATATTTTCAATAATAACATAACTCATGTGATATACACCAGAGCGCTTTTCATTGGCTGCGACAGATGATGTTACGTCATGAATTGAAAATGACACAACAATATAGCGGCATCAATTGGATTTTGGCCTTCACAATTTAAAACTGTCAAAATGAAACTCTGGCGATAAAACTTACCTTAAACGAGGTTCGTTTAATATGATATTATTTTTTTTCTCGAAAAGGCTCGCAATGAAATAAATAAATGAATAAATTCATTCATTAATTCAAATTTATTAATTGATTAAAGTACTAAGACTCCTGAAATCATAATTACGTTTTAAGATAATTTATATATTTTGAAGTCAGAAGTAAACAACAGGAATTATTGATTCACCTACAAAAAAGAAACAAAACAAAGAAAGGCGGGCTTATTAATATCCACAAAACTCAACAAATAAATGCATTCAACAACATTTCTGAAGCCATTAAATAAAGACATGTCGAAATTAGATTATTGATCAATAAAGACCTAAGATCACTAGCTTCCGTTTGTGTATATTGGCGGGTTGTAAAGATTGTACAAAAGACACACAAGTGAATTGAAATAAAACGTAGAGTTAGATACAGTAGACGATAAACAATAAATAAAACTGCATCATACAGCTGTTTCGTCCTTCTAGGACTCGTTAGTGATGCTACATCATACAGCTGTTTCGTCCTTCTAGGACTCGTCAGTGATGCTACATCATACAGCTGTTTCGTTCTTCTAGGACTCGTCAGTGATACTGATTCATACAGCTGTTTCGTCCTTCTAGGACTCGTCAGTGATGCTGCATCACATAGCTGTTTTGTCCTTCTAGGACTCGTTAGTGATGCTGCATCATACAGCTGTTATGTCCTTCTTGGACTCGTCAGTGATGCTACATCATACAGCTGTTTCGTCCTTCTAGGACTCGTCAGTGATGCTACATCATACAGCTGTTTCGTCCTTCTAGGACTCGTCAGTGATACTGATTCATACAGCTGTTTCGTCCTTCTAGGACTCGTCAGTGATACTGATTCATACAGCTGTTTCGTCCTTCTAGGACTCGTCAGTGATGCTGCATCATACAGCTGTTTTGTCCTTCTAGGACTCGTTAGTGATACTGCATCATACAGCTGTTATGTCCTTCTTGGACTCGTCAGTGATGCTACATCATACAGCTGTTTCGTCCTTCTAGGACTCGTTAGTGATGCTACATCATACAGCTGTTTCGTCCTTCTAGGACTCGTCAGTGATGCTACATCATACAGCTGTTATGTCCTTCTTGGACTCGTCAGTGATACTAAGGGCCTAAATAATGAGTAAAACTATATCACACAGCTGTTTCGTCCTTCGAAGACTAGTCGGTGATGTTAAGGACCTAGACCTAGATTCGTGATTTATAAAAATGGTTGAATCTCCTCGAGATGATTTCATGATAAGGTGCATTCAGCAGCTTTGATGTGGCATTATCACAGTGATAACTTATAAAGCTCTAATGATAGTTAAACTATTACTTGAAGGATACTGATGGACGTCAAATTATTAGTCACGAGCCACGCCTTTTTATCTGTTTGTTTTATTTTACCACTGAATGTTGTATCTCATTCAAATTTATATTTCGTCCAATATACAGTGTTTTATAAACAATAAATGATAATTTCCATGATGATAGAACGCGTCTTTAAAACTCTCAGAATGTCGTTCTTGTTTTTTTCTACACAATCTAAACTTTATAAAGATACGTGTATTTATTCGTGGACAGGAATTTCTAAGCATTTTGTCAAATTAAAATGATTACGATAAGTATCTAATTAATTTGACCTTGAATTATTTCCTCCCTCCCTTAACATTTCAATTCAAGCAACTTATATGTTACGATATTAGATTTTCGGAAATATACATATCTCGATATCTCTATATCCATTAGATCACGTGATATCGCTCTTTCACGTGATCTTGCTGAAGAGGTAGTCTTGATCTTGCTACAAATGTTCGGAGATGTCTAGGTAGGTCATCAAAAGTCCACATTCTATATTTGGTGTTTTCAATGCTGTGTCGTCGACCAGTATGACCCTTCGATTCTATGAAGGCTTGCTATTTGAAGTCTTCGTTCGTCATATTTCATCTTTCTTATGCGGGGGTGGGGTGCAGGGACCGTGGTATGCGGGGGTGGGGTGCAGGGACAGTGGTATACGGGGGTGGGGTGCAGGGACCGTGGTATGCGGGGATGGGGTGCAGGGACGGTGGTATACGGTGGGGTGCAGGGACCGTGGTATACGGGGGTGGGGTGCAGGGACGGTGGTATACGGGGGTGGGGTGCAGGGACCGTGGTATGCGGGGATGGGGTGCAGGGACAGTGGTATACGGGGGTGGGGTGCAGGGATGGTGGTATGCGGGGGTGGGGTGCAGGGACGGTGGTATAAGGGGGTGGGGTGCAGGGACCGTGGTATGCGGGGATGGGGTGCAGGGACAGTGGTATACGGGGGTGGGGTGCAGGGAGGGTGTTATGCGGGGGTGGGTGCAGGGATGGTGGTATAAGGGGGTGAGTGCAAGGACGGTGGTATACGGGGGTGGGTGCAGGGATGGTGGTATGCGGGGGTAAGTGCAGGGACGGTGGTATGCGGGGATGGGGTTCAGGGACGGTGGTATGCGGGGGTGGGGTACAGGGACGGTGGTATGCGGGGATGAGTGCAGGGACCGTGGTATGCGGGGATGGGGTGCAGGGACGGTGGTAGCTAAATTTCTTAGAACAGTTGTTTTGCAATTCAAATAATTGTTTGGTTCAACACTCTCTACTCGGTAGCGATATGGACCGTCTTGTGCTGACTTGATCGTGTTCTTGAGCAAGACAAAACGCCTTAATTGGCCCGAATAACAACCAACGGACCTCTCTAAGGTTGTTCAGTGAGGCATCACCCAGCAATCAATCAAATCTTTCATTTTAACCATTTCAACATCTTTTTTATTTCCTTGTTGTTTTTAGGTCATGGTATTTGATAATAAGTCATTTCGTGTGTTGCCGATGTGATATATATATTGCTCTTATGTTTATGTTTGGGCGTGGTTTATGCTTGTTTGTGTTTGGTTATGTTTGTTTATGTTTGTATTTGGTTGTTGTTTATGCTTGTTTATGCTTGTTTATGTTTGTGTTTGGGTGTGGTTAATGCTTGTTTATGTTTGTGTTTGGGTGTGGTTAATGCTTGTTTATGTTTGTGTTTGGGTGTGGTTTATGCTTGTTTGTGTTTGTTTATGTTTGTGTTTGGGTGTGGTTTATGCTTGTTTGTGTTTGTTTATGTTTGTGTTTGGGTGTGGTTTATGCTTGTTTGTGTTTGTTTATGTGTGTGTTTGAGTGTGGTTTATGCTTGTTTATGTTTGGGTGTGGTTTATGCTTGTTTATGTTTGTTCATGTTTGTGTTTGAGTGTGGTTCATGGTTGTTTGTGTTTGTGTTTGTTTATGTGTGTTTATGTTTGTGTTTGGGTGTGGTTAATGCTTGTTTATGTTTGTGTTTGGATGTGGTTTATGTTTGTTTATGTTTGTGTTTGGGTGTGGTTTATGGTTGTTTGTGTTTGGGTGTGGTTTAAGCTTATTTATGCTTGTTTATATTTGTGGTTGGTGTGGTTTATGCTTGTTTATGTTTGTGTTTGGGTGTGTTTTATGCTTGTTTGTGTTTGTTTATGTTTGTGTTTTGGTGTGGTTTGTGTTTGTTTATGTTTGTGTTTGGGTGTGGTTTATGCTTGTTTATGTTTGTTTATGTTTGTGTTTGGGTGTGGTTTATGCTTGTTTATGTTTGGATGTGGTTTATGCTTGTTTATGTTTGTTCATGTTTGTGTTTGGGTGTGGTTCATGGTTGTTTGTGTTTGCGTTTGTTTATGTTTGTTTATGTTTGCGTTTGGGTGTGGTTTATGCTGG